CACATCTCGAATTCCCCCAAACATCTACCAGTGAAGATAGCAGTCCCTGTCTCTTTTGCTACGATTGTTCAGTGATGAATTTGATAACAAATTCCCAATTTCAAGACAAACTCTACGATTTCTCACCTACGATTTCTGGACCTCTTCCAAATCACTTTCGGAGAGATGTTGCCCATAATGGTACCCGGTCAGAAGACTCTGGATCGCGCCGCAAAGGCCAGAACGTCTGTTTTTGCCCAGGGAACCAGCCGTGCGAAGGCAACGCCGCTTTTTGCAGCGCATTTCCATGTAGCCCGAAGTCACCGTGCTTCTGCACTACCCGCTGTGCACTACCTTTGTTTTTCCTCATGAAACCGGGACATTTATGGCTCGCAAAGACGGCCTCGAAACACCCATTATATTTCCCAAAGTCCACCCTAAAGCATTTTACCAGATTCTTTCCGATGCAAGGAATGATCACTGGACTTCGCATTCGTTACGCCGGCTGATGACATACCTCCTGACTCCGACCACATTCCAAGCTCGACCCACTACTCACGGTTTTTTTTGCACTTTCCGCAAAGAAATGCCATCGATTTTTTCTTGTTTTCCGCCGGCCGCACTTTATATACTTTATAGCTTCACCATTTTTATAAGAGGCCTTATTTTGATTTACGTCCGTGCCGCCTGTTTCGCCGCGTTTTGGTGCCTTTACTGATACAAATATGTGTACCTAACTCAAAAAAAAAAATTCAGCAATATCTCTCACTTTGCGGATACCCCAACACGTCCCTTATCGACCTCATCTACGCCATCTTCTTCGTCATGTACATCCCAGTTTTATACTCACTAGTTTTAGTAGCACTCTTTGTTCCTCTCATTCTGGCTAACTCAATGCACGATCAGCGCAATGAAGTCGAAATTGTTACATCCAGCGTTTCGCAATGTACCGCCAAACTTGCTGGCAAAGGCTCTTGCGCCATTTCCGGCCAAGCCCAAATTACACTCTTCAACATTGGCTACACCATTTGCAATTTCTTCTCCGATGATAATGGAGCTAACTCCTACTTTATGAGCATTGCCTTTGAAGACCACCAATATTACACATTTCCAATCTCGGTTCGCCCTTTGTCTAAACTTGCTTGCCCAAATTCTCAGTAACGTAGCTGGGGAGTAAAATGCCTACTCCAAGACGTGATCATTTTCCAGAAATCACCAAGGAATCCATTTCTTGGCCCGGCCTCACGTCTTGCATGTCTGTTCAAGTAAAATCCAAATTCTGTAGAATAATTCATTATGATCCATGCCTTTATTGCCGATGGTATTTTCTTCCCCAATATAACGCTATGTACCTGGTAGACAAAATTGTTGGACGTGCGTACCGTCCAGTTATTACCATATCCGGAGCAATCAATATCCATTTGGTCAATACCACCACTTCGGATAAACTATCTACAGGTTCGGGGGTGACGCTATCAGTTTTGGGCACGCGCGAGCAACCTATCTCGCTCCCATTCCAACGCTTTGTCCATAACGTTCAAGGCATGTCCGACTCACACATCGACTCTGCCTCTCCAAGCCCCAGCCCGTTCCCGGTCAGCTTGGAGACATGCAAGCTGCCGCTCCTTTGCCCACCGATTTTATCCTCTAGTGAGTTATCTTTTATCCGTCAATGGTAGACTGCGGATCATGCGAAACGACCATCCACTGTCACATTTCGCAGAGGTAAATTTGTGTACTTCAGGAACAAAAACCCAGCGTATTGCACTGTGCCGTCCATCACTATCATTTATTTGTTACCCCGTATGGCACACTCGAATCAACCTTGTTAACCAGTGCGCCTGTCATTATCCTTGTACGATTTGACGACATACGCCTATCCTTACATCATACCCGAATCTGTCCACAGACAGGGTTCATGGAATTGGTAACTGGCTGTCATTCATGCCCGTTGCCCGCCAAAATTATCCCCAAAGCCCATCCCATTTGCCCTCCCGGTCCGCGTCCGCATCCCTGCACAGTATCCCACTATCAACCCGTTCTGTACAATTAAGTACTGGTAGTGACATTTTCCGCCCGCCTCAAGGAGCGTATCTCACTGTCCCATAACGATGTTCATAGCTGCGAGCCGACAACTTTCTGTTCAGACGTCCCCTTTCGGGGTTTGACCCAAAGGAACGACCCCACGGCTCAGAGCACCGCCCTCCTTCACTCGAGTGGTCTCCTTGACTCTATCGTTTGAACCGCTCAATTTTTTGGTTACAACTTCAAAAGCGCCATTTACCTGTTTTCAGCGTCTTGACCGCGATTGTCTTTTTATCTCTTCTTATTACATTGCTATAGCGTTCCCAATTTTCTCCATGCTCTTCCGATCCATCAACCAAATTACTTGACATGTGGTGCTATCCGCATGAGCTCGTATTTTGCGCTTTTTATTTGACATGACATGCATCACACGCCTTACGCTCCTTTCCACCATTCAGTCTGGTCGTCGCCAGGGTTTCGCCACACGACCATTGCGATTGTTTCAAACGTTTCATATAAAAAAAAACACTCTAAGCTGTCAGCACCATATGCAACTCGTCGCACCAGATCATTCGCACCATCACAGCCGATTACCTGAGCCCATTGTTTTGTCAATATTTTGTAAATGTGTATGCCCATTTTGTGTCTATAGCACGCGTATGAGCATGGATGTGTGCTTTAGTGATGAGGACCATGTACGTGTCGATTGTCACTTTACCTATCGCATCTGAATAATGTTTCAACTTCACGCTCATTTTCAATCGATCACACAACAAACATCTACCTGACGTCTCTCCCCACTTATTCTCACCCCCTGAACACATCTTCCACACCACCCAGCCTGAGGGCCATGATGCAGACCGGCTTCACACTCAGCCCGCCAGGTCTGGCCACTCCGGTGGCTGTGAAATCTCGGGACGCCAAGATCATCCTCCATCCGACAGTGCACGCGTGTCCGGCGTCGGCTGATCGGTCTCACGGCGACAAACCCGCCACGCTCATCGGCCGACACGTCATCCAGGTCCGTGTCGAATGCTGGTTTGCATCGTCCGGCTATGATCAGCAACAGCGAACAGCAAGGTGTCACACACCATCTACCCACGCCACTGCATACGCTGCTCGATCCTGGGGACCGACGGCAACGCCACGACACAGAGGCGGCACATCCAGGTCTCCGCAGGCTCATCTCGATTGCTGAACCGCCAAACACCTGGTGACGTTACGAGGGTCCTGTCGCGGTGGCCGCTCTATACCACCACAGCGGACCAGTGGCCGTGCGCAATTCCGGCCCAGATAACGCCGTCCGGCGCGTTCCAGTAGTTTCCTGCAGACGCTCTGCCTCACAACCGTCGCCGATGAGGTGGCAGGACCACCTCCCAAAGTCGGCTTCCAACATCCACGCGGCGAACAGCAAGACTTGCTGTCGCATCTGATGAACATCCGCGCTGAGCGTGTCCTGCTGAAGAACTCGCCACCGTGTGCAGTATACCGTCTGGACATCTCTATGGCCGATCACCCACACCAAAGCTGACTCCTAGTAGCCCGCTCCGCCGCGGGGAGGTATGTCGGAAGGAACGTTAACCAAATCTGTTGCAATCCGATGCCGCTCCAACACAGCGACAAAGGCGACCGGCCGCGCCGCCCACGCATTGATCGTTGCAAGATACGTGACCGCGGCTATTGCACCACATAATGGTCTCCACGTGGGCGCCCCACACGTCATGCCACGTGCATCCTGAACTCTCGAGACGCAGTTCTCCCCCCCTCCCCCCAACGTCTTCCAGAGACACGTGCGCAGGGTGTACGCCTCAATAATTCGAGAGTAGGCACGTATGGAGCAGGGCACATTGCGAGCCTGTCCGATTCAATTTAACCAGTGTCTTTCCATCAGCCTTTGGTACAACGTCTCCGAGATCCCCAACCGCAGTTTTTATACATGTTACACCCTACACTTGCCACGCACTTCTTGCTGCAAAATTGCGGGGAAGTTTGGGTTCAATCTAGAATACCTCATGCATCAGGTGGAATCGCGAACGTTAAAAATCGCACCATTTCAAATTTACATTATACGTATGAGGCCATGCCTCGTGGCAACACGAAACCTGATACGCGCATTCCTTGCTCAATTCTAAGAACTATGGTGTTATTTTATTGTTTTGACTATATATCAATGATATATGGCCTCGCTGATGTGACATCGTCGTTCCACCGTGCGCGTTCCGCGTCATCGCCATTTACGGCCCCTCTCCCCCTCGTACACCAGCCGACCGGCCGTAGATCGCAGTGCAGTGTTCCTCAGAAACCGCCCCTGCTTTGAAACCACAAACGCTAGGGACGCGTTTTTGGTGTCAAAACACGAGCAACAAATGCATCATAGGCCTCCGAAAATTCGGGCGCGATTACTTTAAGAAACCTTGGCTATCGCATCAATCCCCCCTCCATCAGGGCGAGGGGTAAAACACCAAGGGGAACCAACATTTGGGCACGCCCATGTCCCACTCCACACTTTCAGACATCCGTATGCCTATGTTCACCTTTCTAACACAATTCATGATTCAAGCTCAAATTTGTGTCAGACTGGATCTAGTCACAACCTATTCACAAATCAGGACCAGGGGAACCAAACCAGAAACCCACACCGTGTCAGACCTAAAAGTGACTAAAAATTTGCTCACGGTACCCAGCATCGTTGCGATCTTTTAGCCATTTCATGCGAGGTTGAAAAACGCTCCAAGCGGATCGTGTGTACACGGCGGCATTTTTTAATGGATACGAGTGTTGTGATGCGTACGCTTGATATTTCGTGTGCAGGTAAGAGAACTGTTCAACCTGGTAGCTTTACAACAGAAAGTGAACGTGAAGTTCTCGTATGTGCTGGGATATATACGCGAGTGGGGTCTACCTATTCTCGGGGATGTGTTGAAAAGGTGGCGTTGATGGCGTTGAGATGCCACGATAGCCTTGACGCGCCAATATCGTGCTGCTCAAGGCCGTATGCGGTGCTGTTAGTGTTTGGACACTTCTTACGCGGCATTGGTTCGAAGTTTGAACTTGCAGTAAACCGTCGTTATTGTTATCTTTATATTTACAACGTAAGATGATGTATTGCTGCTGTTGTATCACAATGAACAATGCCAGCTGCTCTGAAGATGATTCATGTACATTAAATTTGTGTAAAGATAGGGAATGCCCTTGATTGCTACTGATGCTGATGTCCAATATGTCAGTGTAAAGGCAGGAAAAACTTAAGATTTTTACCACAGACCATATAAAAACCAGTACATGTTGACCTGTGTTGGGTTATTGCTCATATTGATACATGATGCTGGAAGATTTGATTGTTAATCAACCACTTTCATGACTTAAAAGACCTTAAATAATTACAAAACATGAAAATTTTAATGGATATTTTAACCTCCTATCTTTAAATGATAAGCATGGTAATGATGGCACATGTCAGTCAGGTTTATGTTAATTACCAGGAAATGGTGTCCAACCAAGATAAACTTTTTGCATCATTCAACTTTTGCTCCGAGTATTGTAACATTCCAGTAATTAACGTCAGGCACCCACAAGATTGTGGCCAAGTACACAAGTTTGATTTTCATGCATATTAAGATAGAATATCAGCATATGCATGGATATAGATCCTTAGGAACAGGGTCAGCACAATGGTTACAAATGGGGAAGGGGGGGGGGAGAGCAGGATTTCTCAGGAGGCCTCCCTAATGTAATGGGTGTGATCACCAGCAGCTCCCTGGGCAGTGCCATATTCAATGGGAAGGGACACAGAGGCCCCCTTGTGTGTGTGTATGTATGCCCCCTTATCTCAATGTGTTTTGGTCATCATATCCCAGTAATATCCAGAGTATCAAACTGATCTGCTTATCAAACAAAGGGTTTCACTTTCTTAAAACAGAGCCTCCTGCTCTAGTAAAGGATAAGCTAAATGAGCCTCCTGATCCTGTACAGGATGCTTCCAATCCACGAAAGGAGCCTCAAAATCTAGTCGACAGGGCTCATGATACCAGAGCATGCCATCTTGATCCAGAATGGCAGTCATCAAATACATGAAATGGCCTCCTGTTCCAGAAATGGGGCCTCTTGAATATATAGGATGCCTCCTAACCCAAAACAGGAACTTCATAATGTGAACAGGGGCCTCCTTCACAAGATATTGGGTCTTCTTATCTAGAGGATGGGATACCTTTTGCCTAAATGCCACCTCATAATAGAAAATGGGCCTCTTGATGTGAAAGCAGGCTTCTGAGCCCGAATTAGCCAAATTTTGGTAAGATTTTGGTAGCTACAATGCCTTAAGTTTGGAAAAAGCTCTTCTAACAATTTTTAAGGGGGAAAAGCATATTCTTGCCCCCTTGCATGACAGCAGGGGCAACTGCCCTCTCTGCCCTTCCACCCCACCCCCTGCTGTGCCACCTCTGCTCAGACATGCACAGACCAGTATGACAGACATTTCCTATCTTTGGTTTCAAGATTAGTGGCATCAATATGTTCCAGAAATGCTGCGTAGGTCTGTGATATGAAAACATCCAAAACCGGTCTATGACATGTGGATGAAAATCCCTGCTTTGCATTTCAGGTTGAAGAATGTCCTGGCAAGTGTAGATATAAGTGAAGCCATCATGTGTATGATCTGGTTGTATCATTTTTCACTGAAACTATCTTCTGTGTTGAATAACTGAAAGATATGCATATTGATCCAGGCAAAATGGTGCACAGTACCTGTGATTCACATCTATTCATAGCCATAGGCATGGCCCAAGATCAGTGATAAACATCAGCACTTAGCTCTACTTCATTGATAATCACATCAGACTCACTGCACCAGCTGACACCAGCAGCACCAGCCGAGCGATGCCAGGCCATGTGCTGCAGCAGCCCCCTGTTGTGTCAGTGCTGTTCGATATGCTGCCCGTGCCGGAGCTGCACGTGGCGCGTCGCGTATGCCAGCTGTGGCAGCATGAAGCGGATCGCCGGCTCCGGCGCACCACACTCCACTGGGACTACTGGGAGGACGAGCCGCCGCCGCCGGCCGGCGCCGACCCGCAGCTGAGCCGCATGACTGCCTTCCTCGCGCGAACGCTGGCCGCCTGTCCGTTCCAGCCCGGCCACGTGCTGCTGTTCGCCGGCTCGACGCGGCGCAGCGAGTGCCAGGCGTTGCTGCCTACGGCGTGCCGCTTCCTGCGCCAGCACGCTGCCGGCATCAGCGTGCTCGCGTTCGACGCGCACAGCATCAACTTTGAGAACTGTCGCGTGATCGGCACGCCGCTGGCGTCCGGCGCCGCCGTGCGCAAGAACTTCCGCTACGCCAACGCTGCGTGCCTGGGCGTGCTGCTGCTGGCGGCAGGCGGCGCAGAGGTGCGTGCAGTGACGCTGCACGAGGAGCGCGACCGCGCGGCGGCGCTGGCGGAGTTGGCAGCCGCGCCGCAGCCGCGCGCCGTTCTCCTGCTTTGCGCTGGCTACACGCTGTACCGGTGCGGCCAGCGGCTTCTGCTGGAGCTGCTCTCCGGCTGTGGAGCGCACGTGGCGCTGGGCGGCGGCGTTTCGTCCGGGCCGGGCCTGTTCCCGGGCCGCGCGCCACTCGGCCTAGTGACGGTGGCTGGCGGCCGCGTGCGCGCCGTCAGTCGCGTGCTGCACGGCGCACGCGACACGGCCCGCGCCACCGAGTTTGTGGAGCAGCTGCGGCGGCTCGACTTCCCAACCCGGCACACGGTGGCGCTGGTGTTCGCCAACTGCGTGCATCGGGAGTCACACTACACGGACGTGGAGTGCCGGCTGTTCCAGCGCGCGTTCCCATCGGTGCCTGTGTTCGGCTGGGGCACCGTGCGCCAGGTGGGTCACGAGTCGGGCCGGCCGCACCGCAAGCACGCGCGCATCAACCCGTACGCCATGAACCGCAGCGTAGTGTTCGTGCTGTTACACATCCCGCCTGAGTGATCATGGTGGACATATCAGCGGACGTGGCACGAACGTTTACTTAAAGTGAATGTGCAGGTTGGCTTGCCGTTTGTACTATGTTGTAAGTCACAGGTACGTTTTGAATTGAGGCCTGCTTTGTGGACTGCAGTGAGATAAGACACCACCGGTATTCCTTACCTATTTTGTTCTGTTGTGCCTCATGCGTAGACGCGGCAACAGGAGGGGTTGGGCGTAGCGATTACGGAAGGAATCTGCTTCTAAAAAGGGGTTTTGCTTCCTCTAGTTGGGTGCCTCCACACTCTGAGTATATAGTTGTGATGTTATAAAGGCAGTGTTCCACATTTGTTTGGGATTGTGAACCGGAATCGCCATCTTGATCATCCGGTGCAATTCACAGCCCTACCCTTCTTACGAACAATGTCCCTCTAGTTTTTACGAGTTTTCTGCGGGTAGCAAGTTTCCCGCAAATATGTGATTTTTTTCGACGGGGCATCTATTTCAAACGGGGATCTATTTCAAAGTTACCCAGCCATCCATGACGCCGCAATCACGTTATCAAATCCTCCCATTCAATCAGCAACGCCGAAATCAATCCAGTACAAATGTAGTTGTCGATTCATTCATATCTGGCGTTTGTGAGCGCGATTTCCAGACGTAAAGGCCGTCGATTGGCTCTCAAGCAATGTAATCCAAGGTACGATGACGTAGTGAAACAATGATGTATTGGCGATCATATTAACTAAACAGTGAAATGTTGTTGTCTAGAGCAGTCTTTTTCAGTTGAAGGTATACGAGTAGCTATAGTGAGCTTGTTTGTCACATCAAATTCAGTATCATTAAAGGTGGAACATTCCCTTTCACAACATTCACATGTGTTAGTTGTTTCGTTGTATCCTGTGGGTGGTCTTTCTCCGATTAAAGAAAATGATCCACATTTGAAGGTATTGAAGTACCAGATGTGATGAAATAACCTTCACTTATAACTATTGGTAGACTTTTAAGCGAAAATGACTGCCCTAGACGACACTATATTTTTTCAGTACACGTGTTCATCAATAGGTCATTACTTGATTGCGTGAGGAAACGTTTGTATGATGTTAGAGGTTCCGCCTAGCTGGCCGTGCGAAACTGGCACCATAGCACTCACTTGTAGCACTTCAACTTTCCGAGAGATGACAGCGGAGGTGCTTGACGTGTTTGCTGGAACAAATATTGTTATGTGCCCGTGTTTGGCCATTCTTCGTAATATTCTTGCCTTGAGTTTACGTTGTTTACATACATTCGACATACTCGTGTAATGCGCTATTGTGAAGTTGTTCGAGTACAAGTCGTATTTCCGTAATACTTAGTACGTATATCCAAAGTCTTATTTTATGTAGGACAAAGCACCATTCGTGTTTAAAACTTGCATTGCCCGCACAACGTTGCTTGAGAGCCAATAGGACTCCGTTGTACTTGGGCACCATGTTCACGAATGCCTTATATGGACAGCTTGACGATTATATTCTTCTCGGCCTTGAGCGTCGCATGGCCGATAGGGTGACAGTATTGGAGTGACGTTTTTTCAGCGTCACGCATGCATGAGTGACCTTGAAATAGTCTGCACAAAAAACCTACAGCATTTCCGCGGATGTGTAGCTCAGAAAGTACAGCGTTTTAAGTCTTTAGAAGGGCAGGACTGCAAACTGTACAGAACAACCTGCGAGATGGCTGTCTCAGTTCCCCCATACAAATGTGGAACACTCCCTTTAATCAGTGCGAAAGCCGATGGGCGCTTTGATGCAGTTATGTGTGTATGGTTATTCCACGAATTTCGACACGTGTTTGCTCATTCTGTTGTGTACGAATACGAGAATACGTAGGCTGTGGTTGGCGTCGTTACCCGAGAGACAGTGTATATAGTGGCCGTGACGTTTTCGGGCATGCTTCGTATTACCTAAAAAAGTGTCGACAGACTTTGAAAATGTAGCGGACTTCACACGGCGCTTCTTATATCGATATCCGTGATTCTAGATATGACGTAATTTTGTGTTTCGCAAGACTTTTCTTGCTTGTACTGTGTGTAACATGTTGCACCATTATGTTATCTACTGGTCTGTGCGTTTCTCAGGACTGACGGGATCTCTTCTCTCATTGATGTAGTTGGCTCTCCCAACCGACTACGACACTGCGTCCCAGTGCAACTGGGATGGTGTGTGTCAGGCGTCTGAGTGTCCTCGTTTTTTATATGAAGAGGTGACTTCCATTTTTGAATCATTTGTCGGGACGTTTGCTACGTGCAGAAATATATAGAGCCGGGTACAGTGCTTTTTGGCTTTCCCTGATTGCTCTCTACTACCGTATGCCTCGTTTCCAAAATGAGCATCGATTCGTTCATACTTTACCTGATGCCAAGGAACACAGCACCTTAAACTCAAGTCATCGCGGCAGCGGTCTATGTGACGTACGTATCGTCATGTACACGAGGCGGGTGCTACACTGGAGCTGTGAGACGCACCGCACATGGCCCGCCCACAGTGCTCAGCAGCCGCAACAAGGCATCGAGCCGGTACCAAAGGCAGAGGTACGGAAGGAGACCTTCATTAAGAAAGGATTCAAGCCGGATTGACAGTGTCTTCGGGGCAGTCTGCTTTTCTCTCCGCTTCCAACGTCAGGGATCACGGGAACGCCACCAGGGCCCAGAGGCGATAGGGAAACGAGAGGGTCGTTTCCAGTTGTGGCTTCAGACCAACTGTCTCACCGTCCGTGCGCATTGGAGCAACGTCCTCAGCTGTCCGAAGCGACTGTGAGTGCCGCAAAGAACAGGGTCATTACGCGGCCACCTCCGCGCAACGCCCGACTGTGAGTGCCGCAAAGAACAGGGTCATTACGCGGCCACCTCCGCGCAACGCCCGACTGTGAGTGCCGCAAAGAACAGGGTCATTACGCGGCCACCTCCGCGCAACGCCCGACTGTGAGTGCTGCAAAGAACAGGGTCATTACGCGGCCACCTCCGCGCAACGCCCAATGTTTGTAACAGCTCTGTTCAAACGGCGTGTTCACTGTCTGACATCACCAAGCGCCGCAGCGAATCGAATACGACCGGAGTGTTGCACGGTGTACAGTAGCGGATCGGCCGGATCGGCAGAGACTGGAGTGCTACCTTACACCTCCACCCACCCCGCCACCACCACCAGCGTTGGGGGCGATGGGTCCGCACTCGCCCCCAACGCCGCCGCCAAGAGCTGCAGATGGAGGGTGGTCGTCGTCCCCCAGCGGACATGGTGGAAAGCGAGCGCCAATTTGACCTGTATTACCCACAGACGGCGGGAGTCCAAGATGCCGTCCCCAGAGTGTGGTCAGAGTCTGAGGAGAAAGCCCAGCCATTCAACTCAAGGACTGGAGCCGAATCCCATTTTTGAAAGGATGTCTCGGCAACCTGATTCTACCATGAGTACAAGTTGTTCACAGGACACTAGCAGCCTCATGGCACGATCGTCTGTTCAACGACTTGAGGTTTTAAAGCCGACTTCTCCGACTTGCAGAGGATTTCGCACTCAAGGAGCCGGCCGTGGCGTGTCTGCAAGGACGCGAGGCTCACTCCGCGCGCCACTCACGCTGTGAAGTGCTCCAGCATGTTCCGAAAGGACCTTCGCATACACACCATCGCCCATGGAGCTGTCGCAATCCTAGTCCACCACGGAGTCCCGTGCGTAAACGTACCCCTCCAAACTGCTATTCAAGCGGATGCGGTCAGAGCGGACCTCCATTCGATAAAGCCAGACGTCTGCCCAGTACGCTTACCACCTGGAGGCCGGCTCGACATATCAACCCCTGACTTTGCATTTGACCAACCACCGCGCCCCTTTCACGTCTGGTGGTTTTAACGCACATAACCGGGCTTCGGACGGAGACCACACAGACGGCAGAGGCCGCCGTCTCGGGTACCTGCTGGATACGAACAGCCTGTGTCTCCCGAGCACAGGTCATTTGATGCTTATAAGACGACCGTCGGGCAAGACCTCAGCTATCGACTTTTTAATATGCATACCAACTCTAGTCACACAGTTCTCCTGGAGTGTAGAGGATTGCCCGAATGGCAGAGACCGCTTTCCAGTCTGGCTTCGTCTGAGCGTTGCCCGCCCGGGGATCAGGCTATCCTGGTAGAACCTTCGCAGGGCCGACTGGGAAAGCTTACGACCAAATGCGCCATCGTCGAGCCTGGAAATATTAACGCACCCACAGTGCTCTTTGATCACGTCAACAACGCTGTTTTATCAGCCGCCAGAGTATTAATCCCGGCCGCGTCACGTGAGCCCCGACGTGTCCCAGTGTCTTGGTACACCGGTTATTGTAGGACTGCCATTTTAACTACGTGAAAAGCCTTCAAATGCTTCATTCCTTCTTGGACAACAGGAAATCTCATCGCGTTTCGAGAGCGCATGTGGGGCGTACGGTGCGCGAGTCAAAGCGCTCCTAATGGTACACGCTCAATGGTACGGTAATGGTACACAAAGCGCTCCTCGGCATGGTACACCTATATTAGTGGCATCATCTGGTTCACAACCGTAGCTGACGTTTGGATCTGTGACAGACGTATCTCATACCAAAGTCCGTCGATGCTGGTGCCATGTGTTATTAAAAGGTCCGCTCTGACAGACACTTCTGAGGTTGTAACACATTCGGTCATGCACGTTCCGCACGTTAAAATCTGGGCTCACTTTACCCAGTGTTAATACGACGCAAAACCACCAGCGAACATCATCCTGTGGACTTTGGCTTAGATAACAAGCAGACATACAAAACCGCGTTCACAATGGCTGCGCTCGCGGCTACCATCATAAGCACAAGGTGCGTGGTGCCGTGCGTGGATAATATTGCAAACAACATGCTCAAACACCTGACAACAGGATCACTTTTGTCTTTGTAAGAGGTTTCAACTCTACCTGGGTGACTGATACATTTCCAAAGCGATGGCTGATGGTGAGTCGATTATCGTTCCAATCCTAAAGCTGCAGGTTTTTCCACGGCTTTCCACGTCACAATCCCAAAACCACGATTTTTCTAAGGTCTGTTTTCACTGCGGGCGCAGGAAACTGTGCAGTGACCCGGAGGTCAGGCTACACGACAGCGTCGTTCTAGCGATGGAGAAAAAGTTACCTGGCGTGATACCGGACCGCCGTCATTCACGTACAGACCACATCAAACATCTCCGTACGAGGTGTTTTAAAGCTCTTGACGTTCAAAAGCAGTATCACGCATGACATGCGGAGCAGACCGAACGTCAGTACTTCTACGCGTGTGTGGTTTATGACACGGCACGCAGGCCTAGCAAGAGATTGTAAGACACCATCCACCACGCAGGCATGCCTATCACCATCGGTGAGTTCCGCACGTCACCCACAGCAAGCGTGCTGGTAGAAGCCAATGAATTGCCTCTTGATCTGAGACGCAGTGCTCTGGCGATGCGGTACTCGATGAAAGTTAGCGAATTCTCCACGCACCTTAGCGCATGACTCGGTCTTTTGCACCGATCGGAACATATTTTTTCCGGCAATTATTTCTTCCCGGCAGGATTAGCAAAAAACGGGCATTTTGTGTTCGTGTAAATGAATGGCTGCGCAACGCTGGTGTAAATCGACGCAAAATACGGCCCCGCGGTATTCCATCGTCGGAGCCGTGGCTGATCGTTCTACCCATATGCGATACACGACTTAGCAAGCTTCACATGTGCTCTACGCACGCTGTCGAGCTCAAACAAGAAACTCAAAAGTTAATTTTCACAGCATGCAAAGGATCTGCGTACTTCTATACTGAAGTTTCAAATACGGCACACGGTATAGGATGCGCATATGTATCGTCTGAAGGCCGCGAGAGGGCATCACTGTCCTCTTCGGCCGCCGTTTTTTCTGCTGACCGCTCGCTATTTCACACTGCATTAACTGTACCTCACAGCTTCAACTTCGTCGCCCGTGATATTCACTGATTCCCTTATCTTCATTGTTGCGATTAAGAACGCTCACGCGTCGGCACCTATCTAGCACTGCTGATTGCAAGAAAACTCGCTGCGCTGAGAGAAAATGGAAGCCGCACAGCGTTGATCTGGATCCCGAACCACGTGGGACTATCTGGCAACGAGTCTGCAGAACAGGTATCCAGGTCTGTCGCGCTTCTTACACCTGACAACACACTGCAAATCACTGCAAATGACGTGTGCCCAAAAGCGAATGTGTATATGTTTGCCAAATGGCAAACCAGGCAGAGCGAGGAGAATTGTATAAACAAGGTGAAAGATATCAAGTCATTCATATGCGCCATTGATTCATTCCATTCGCATTCATTCATAAGAGGTACTACACGCTTACCCATCGGCCATACGTACTGCACACACATAATCAACGCTCAAGAACCCCCTCATGAAGCAAATGCGGAGAAATGGTGACTGTCAGTCATGTCTTGGTCGACCGTCGACAACTGTCTGCTGAGAGGCAGAACGTCTTCGGTTACCCTAAGCCACTGACGTAATTAATAGGAAAGTGTCCTGAGACAGCAACTCATCAATTGCTAAAATTTCTGGGCACTACCGGTCTGCGTGTCACACACTCACCTGTTAGCAGTCTGATGCTCAGGAAGAAGTAGATTCTATCGCGAAATGACTTCAGAAGCCGATACGCTCTCAAAACCCCCAAATATCAGCAGCCTCGGCATCGACTCCTGACTTTAAATTGATTGGTCGGCGTCGGCTCCTGACTTTAGATTGATTGGTCGTCTTTGGCCTCGTGTTTCCTACGTTCCAAACTGCTGACTTGCGATCGGCTCACAGTTTAAAACCACTCGTTTCGGATTCGGCTTCACGTGTCAAAGCGCGAAGACTTTGGTTCCAACAGCCATTCATTAGGGTTGCCTTCTGAGCAGAATGTGGTGAAAATTCACAGGCGTGAAGGCCCCTCTCGTTATTTGTTTTTTCTGAGTCCATTGATATGAAAATAGACCAAATAAAAACGTTCCACAGATCACGCATGGAGCTCAAATCCTCAGCTTTTTCTCGAATTATGTTATTGAAGCTAAACAGCTTTGCCCTTGAATGCGTGGCTTCTTAATGTAATGAAATGAAGGGCCACCAGAGTGTAAAAGAATGATTCAGCTTTCTTTCATACTCATTGCATTGATATGTCGAAGCTGGTTCATGTTCTAGGCCAGCTGAAATGCTAAGTTTCACAAATTTGCCGAAATGACGTCATCATCCATGTTTCTATCAAAAGTGGAGATCTGGGGTTCAGGTTTCACTGAGCCCCGGTGATCAGGCACCACTAG